TGACCGATGTAGACGGTAGTTAGATATTAGAGAGACACGGAATGTTTGAACGCATTATAAATTATAATTTATCTCTACATTTTATTTAGCTGTCCACCTACAATATATGAACTGTAATTACATTTAAATCAAATCACTCGTGGCTTCAATTGATGCGATTTTTTTTTAATTCGTCGTAAATGTAATTGAAAAATACAAATTGCAAATAATTGGAACCCTTCACTAGATTAACTATTTGCCCCAGTTCCTGTTTTGAACAGTCGTGTGCTTACGATAAACATCAGAGTGAAAACACAGGTTTTCGTTTGAACACTGAAGTTAAGCAATGTCGAACGCGTTCAATATTTAGATAGGGGGGCTTCTTGGTAATATCTGGGGCAGTAAGAAACCTCCTACAACGCGACGTATATTTCGGATTTAAATAAGCCATAAAAGGCTGATAAACCTTAAAAAATCAATGAAACAGTCGTGTAGGCCAATGCTTCTTAAACTATCTCATATGGTTGACCGGCATTTTTTTTCTCAATACGTCACGTACCTCTAATATTCCGTGGTAATATTAATTTATAGCGGGAACGATATATATATATATATATATATATATATATATATATATATATATATATATAAAAGAGAACATAGAAGTCAACACTTAGAGGCGACAGTCTGTTTCATGCTATATGCAATCGTCAGGCCACGTGTGCTGTTATTTTTTTCGGCTATTTATACATATACGGGTCAGTGGTGCATTGTGGGTAGTCGAGAAAAATAACAGCACACGTGACCTGACGATTGCATATAGCATGAAACAGACTGTCGCCGCTAAGTGTTGACTTCTATGTTCACTTTATATTTACACACGCTCTATCTCTGATATTGAGCACTTTATCCCATAAATATAGCACATCTTAAGACTATATTTCTTTATATATATATATATATATATATATATATATATATATATAATTATTTATTTAAAATATGATTCTAACGCTACATAAGAGTTCTCATGTTTCAAAACAAGAGCCGAAAACTTCAATATAATTATTTGAATTAAATTAATTTAAAGTACCAGGCTCTGTTTCATCTTCAAGCGAATTTTTTTTTTATGTAACTGAGATATTGATCTAAATTATTAACCCTTACGCCCCTTTTCTTTAAACAATTGTTCTAGCCATTACCATAGTAATTTTAATTTCAATAATGAATATGCTTATAATACGTGTAAATTTCAGGAATAAGTTATTCAAAAAAAAAAAAAAAACGTTTCGCTTTGTGTTGTGGCAGGATCCACCTAATTTACATAGTGGAGTACCGACCATATAAATATGGTTGGTACCGGGAAGACGGGGGAGAAAGAAGAGATCCAATGCAGAGACTCTGACCGGCTGCGACTAAGCCGACCCATTCTACAGGAACGGTCTTCCCAAGAATATACCAAAACTATCTGTAAATAGTGTGTACACTTTCTTGTTTTCAATACATTTTGGTTAAGTACATTTTGTGTTGTATTATTATTATTCCATGCTTTATTCAAGTTTCAACACTTTAGGAATTTGGGACCATTGGATTTAATTAGTATGTTTCATACCTCTTTTGGTTTAAGCTACGATACTAAAACACTTAAAACATAACCATTCATTTTTTCGAAGAGAATCGTTGCCTAAAATTTAAATTCCAAGGAGGGTTAGACAAAAAATAATAAAATCAGCAAGTTCCTTTTTGTGTCGACAAGTTATTGCTCGTCCGTTTCCATTGAGTCCAACTACACACTGCCCGGTCCAGGGATCGAACTGACAATGTATTATGTTATCTAATTCACGAAATGACGATTTAATACACTAGGCTACTGTGCTGGAACTCTTGAGAGCCACCACTATCAGATCATCCCGGGAGAGGTCGCCTGTTTCTTCTGCCCTTAGGTCCTCACCTCCGCGAAGATTGCAGCAGTCAAGGAACTGATGATGATGATGATGATGATGATGATGTTTGTTCCCATAGGAAAATAAATTAGAACTAAACCAGATATCCCTAGACACGGACAGTGAAACGAGAACAGTCTAACCCCGTTGATTAAATAAAGAATTCACTCCAGAATTTCTTCTAGGTTACTCAGATCGATATACACTTGATGAAGGGCGTAGAGCACAATGATCGAAACGTTGTGATAACAACAACAAAGATGAGGACAATATTCCAAATATAAACAGTATGAATAATGATAACTCCTCCTCTGAGAAATTAGTCTTTTTTTTTTTTTAAGCGTTTCATCCCAAGCAAGGCGGGATGCCACTAGTATACAGGGGTTTACAGAGCGGGAGCCAGAGTAAAGAGGCGTGATGGACGAAAGGACAGGAAATAGGTCAGGGCATCTGGAGATTATCGATTGACATTATATTTGAATAGTTGGAGATTATAGCTATCAGGGAAACAATGTTGGAAGGGAATTCCACAGACGCGAGGTACGAGACATGAAGCTATTGGAGTAGAAGAGACGGTCACATTTAGCCTTTTCGACAGTGAAATGGTGGGACTTTGATGCCAGTCTAGTAGCACGCTTAAATTCATGCAGTCTGGGAACTAGCGAAAGTATCCCGTCGGGGCAGTTACCGTGAAAGTATTTGTAGAAAAGACAGAGGGAGGCGACGGCACGTCTGTGAGAGAGCGACTGTAAACGAGATGCCAGATCAGGGCCAATCACATCGCATATCCGTCTCTGGATTTTATCGAGGACCTTAAGACGAACAGCGGGAGCTCCAGACCATATATGGCAGCAGTATTCCATGCAAGGGCGAATGGTTGATTTATAAATTTGAAGGATGAACTCAGGCGAGAAAAACTTTTTGGCGCGACACAGTGAACCAACTTTCCTTGCGGTGGATGAAGCTATTGATTCAATATAATTGTTCCACCTCAGGTCAGCGGACAGTGTGAGGACTTTGTTAAATTTTTGGAAAACATATTTTGTTATTCGCGTTCGGATTTCGGTGCCATATTTTCCATTCTTTCATATTTAAAATTCCGTGCTTGTTTGATGTTGATATCTTCAATTCGTAGTTCACGTCTTGAAGGAATTTTCCTCTTGCTGACAACTATACTTTCCGTCTTCTTACAACTGATTTTTTTTAATTGATTTCACCCCAGACAAGACAATAAAACCACTAAGACTCAAGAGGTCACTGGGCGAGAAAGTATTAGGAAGAGAAACATTACCAAGGAGAATAAAGAGAAAAGTGTAATCAGGAGAGCAGTAGATAGCAATTGACATTGCATTTAAATTTTTGGAAATTTAAGTTTGCATGGAGTGGGAAGGGAGTTCCATAAGCGAGAAGTGCGAGAAAAAAACTGTTAGCATAGAATCTACATCTAGGCAGCTCAACTGTAAATTGATGCGATTTCGAAGTCAGTCTAGTACTGGGCTTAAATTCTAAAAGTCTGCCGTAGCGAAGAGCTCATCCGAATAATTACCATGAAAGTATTTATAGAAAAGACACAGAGAGGCAACCTTATGGCGGTGGGAAAGGGACTGAAGCCGAGTCGCCAGATCAGGGCCAATAATATTGCTGATTCTTCTTTGGATTTTATCAAGGAGCTCAAGATAAACAGCAGGAGCAGCAGACCATATATTGGTAGCAATATTCTAAGCATAGGTGAATGGTAGACTTATAGATCTGCATTCGTTTCTTCCCGATCTCCATCTGTAGTATTTTTTCTTCTATGTCTGCCATCAACACAGTGTTATCTGCGCAACTCATATTTTCAAGACTGTGACAATAGTGATACGATCTACAGGTCCATTATGACCGCCTCGCTGAGGCTGAATAGGTCCGCCGTTAATGTAACAAGAGAAACGACTACTTACATTATTCACATTATTCGGACTGTTATCCTCATCTTCATTGCCATATTCACAACGTTTCGGCCGTTGTATGCTCCGGCCTTCTTCAGGTGACTGGAATTTCGAACCGAATCCCTTTATTTCGTCCATATCGGCAGGCTGTTCTAGTTACACGTGCCATGCCTCTTCTGGATGTCTCAGTTATTTCCCTTTAATTAAACTTTCCAACTTTTGCTTCAAACCCTACTGTGGCCTGGTATTGAACTGACAACTCTTTTGAGTCTAGTCACTGGATCTAACCAAAGTTTTTTTTTTTGTTTTTTTTGTTTATCCGCTGGTCCATGTGTCCTTGAGGACATTTCCGTGTATGAATTGGAAGTGTTGAGTTAAAGGGAAATAACTGAGACATCCGAAAGAGGCATGGCACGTGGAACTAGAACAATCTACCTCGATGGGCCAAATACAGGGTCGACTCGAAATTCCAATCATCTGAAGAAGGCCGGATCGCACAACGGCCGAAACGCTGTGAATATGGCAGTGAAGATGAGGATAATGGTCCGAATAATGTAAATAACATAAATAATCATAATACATCATCTCAGAGATCCAATCACCTGAAGAATGCCGGAGCGTACAACGGCCGAAACGTTGTGAATCTGGCAAGGAAGATGAGGATAACAGTCCGAATAATGTAAATAATCATAATACCTCATCTCAGAGATATAGACAGATCTTGAGAGGAACGACATATTGAACTTCGGTGTGTAGATGCAAAATAAGGAGCAGGTTTAATTGCTCGGGGTTATTTCCTTTTTAGTTGGGTGCATCATTTTTCAGCACCCACTCATAGATACAGGCATAAGCAGTTTACTTAATACGTTTTTATCTGCTTATCGATCAATCCTACAAATATTTGAACATAAGTGGCTTGTTCTTACCAATTTTAACTCGGTTCAATTTTGTGAAACGATCATTATGTACTTATATGAAAAGCTTTTTCTCATGTTTCGACTACTTTTTCAGTTTTTTCTTCTTTTTTTTTTTGTCAAATTCTATTTTTTTTTTTCATTTTCATTTTTTTTTTTTCATTCTTTCTTTCAAGAATTCTTCTCCGATTTCCTTTGCCCGCGTTTTAGTTTTCGCTTTTCCATTCCCCGAGTTAATGTTTTGCTTTCTTTCTTTATTTTCCGCATTCGTTTTCTTTCTTTCTTTCTTTCTTTCTTTCTTTCTTTCTTTCTTACATTCGTCTATTTTCCTTTCATTTGTACTCTCTTTTTTCTTTCTTGAATTTTTCTTTCTTTCTTTCAAGCATTCTTCTCAGATTTTCTTTTCTATCATTCTCGATGTCTTTTTTTTATTTCGCAACCATTGTCTTTTTTTGTAATTTTTCTTTCTCTTTCTTTCTTTCTTTCTTTCTTTTGAGCACTCCTCTTATTTTTCTTTCTTTCTTACATAGTCTTCTTTCCTTTCATTCGCCTTCTTCTTTTCTTTCTTCAATTTTTTTCTTTCACAGCGACTTCTCCGATTTTCTTTTTTTTCTTTCGTAACTATTTATCATTTTTCCTTTCTTTATTTCGTGCTAGCCTTTTCTCTTTCTTTCTTTCTTTCTTTCTTTCTTTCTTTCTTTCTTTCTTACATAGCCACCTTCCCTTTCAGTTGAATCCTCCTCTTCTTTTTTGCTGTCTTTCTTTCACAACTTCTAATTTTATTTTATTTCTATATTTCTTGTTTCTCCTTTTTATTCCGTGTCCTTGTGCCGTTCGTTCCTTCCTTCCTTTTTACTTTCTTTCACGTCTGCTTCTTCCAATTTCTTTTTTTTTCTTTCTAGTTTTCTATTTTTATTCCTTGTTTCCTCTTTGTTTTTCTTTATTTTCTTCTTAGTTCCTCACTTATTATTTGGGTTTTGCATTTCTTTCTTCTTTCTTTCTCTTTTCTTTTTTCATTCTTTCTTTTTTTCTTTGGAGCTATCGTTTTTATTTCATCTTATATTCTCTTTTATTTAGTGTTCTCCTTTCCTTTCTTATTTCTTCTTTCTTTTCTTCCTTCCTTTTTCTTTTTTCTTTCTTTTTTTCTTTCTTTCTTTTTATCTTTTAAGCTATCGTTGTTATTCTATTGTATATTCTATTTTAATTCGTGTTCTCCTTTCCTTTCTTCTTTCTTTCTTTCTTTCTTTCTTTCTTTTCTTCCTTCCTTTTTCTTTCTTCTTTCTTTTTTCTTTCTTTCTTTTTATGTTTGAAGCTATTCTTTTTATTCTATCGTATATTCTATTTTATTTCGTGCTCCTTTCCTTTCTTATTCCTTCTTTCTTTCTTTCTTTCTTTCTTTCTTTCTTTCTTTCTTGCTTGCTTACTTGCTTGCTTGCTTTTTTCTTTCTTTCTTTTTTCCGTTTTTCTTTGTCCTTTCTTTCTTTTTTTCTCTTTTCTTCCTCTCTTTTTTCTTTCTTTCACACACTGTTTTCTTGCCCCTTTCTTCCCTTGTTTCTCTCTGTCGAGCTCTATTTCTTTCTACGTCCTTTCATACGTAGTCTCTTTAACTTTCTTTCGTGTTCCCTCCTTTCTTTCTTTCTTTCTTTCTTTCTTCCCATCTTATCTACACGATCAGCTCTTTGTCCTCTTCGTCTTTTTTTTTTTCCAATTGTCAACCATTACACCACGCCCATCACCCCAAATGTCGAACACGCCTTAGCGGGCCTAATGCAACATTAGTCTAGCTGAAATTGATATGCACTTATCTTGATGCGTTTTCTGCAGTTCTGGTCGAAGCACTTAAAAATAGCATCCATTCCTGTCGACTGGTTGCACCGGCCGGCTCTGATGTCGATAGTGAACCGCTGGTAAAAAAAAAAGTCTGCAGATCGATTATCGAAGTGTACAGGTGCCGCTTACTGCGGCTTGCGAGTTGAAAAGAATCCTCAAGTCTTTGGGTTAATAAAAAACTAACTAGAGGCCATTAGTTACGAAGAAATCGCGAAGAGATACATCATTTTCATCCATACAATGCACAAACATAGTTTATCATTCCACAGAATAGGAAGACCTATCTATCGCGGTCATTTCATATCTATCTATCTATCTATCTATCTATCTATCTATCCCAGTTTGTTTATATATATCTATCTACCCAGTTTGTTTCTATCTCTATCTATCTATCTATCTATCCCAGTCTATCCCAGTTTTTCTTATCTATCTATCTATCTATCTATCTATCTATCTATATATATATATATATATATATATATATATATATATATATATATATATATATATATATATATATATATATACATTTTATTATATAATTTTATTCTATTAAGATCTACCTATCCCAGTTTAATTATTTATATCTATCTATCTATCTATCTATCTATCCCAGTTTGCTTATATCTATCTATCTATCTATCTATCTATCTTTGCTTATATCTATCTATCTATATATATCTATATATATATATATATATATTTATATATATATATTAATTTTATCTACCTATCCCAGTTTATTTATATCTATCTATCTATCTATCTATCTTTCTATCTATCCCAATTTGTTTATATCTATACTTGTTTGTTTCAATCTATCTATCTATCTATCTATCTATCTATCTATCTATCTATCTATCTATCTATCTATCTATCCCAATTTGTTTCTATCTATCTATCTATCTATCTATCTATCTATCTATCCCAATTTGTTTCTATCTATCTATCTATATATCTATCTATCTATCTCCCAGTGTGAACATCTTTTTGTGCACACCAACCTTCGACTTTCCCCACTTCTCTCTTTCTCCTTCACTGTCAAAATCCTTCTTTACCCCCACCCTTTGTCTCTCTTCGTTAGCTAGTCGTTTTCTCCAATTTCATAAATGTCAATATATCTTGCTCGTTTCGGATTCGCTTCTTTTTGCGAAGATTCCTATGAAATGTAACATCTGTACTGCAGTGCTTACTAAAAATGCTTTGCTTTCGATTGGCATCATAAGCATTTTCTCTAAAGCAAAAAGAAAAAAGAAAAAAAAAAGCGGACCAGTATATTGATATCTGCAAAGCGTAGTCTCGAACTGGATGTACGCGTAGCGTAGCGATTATCAGCGCCAAAATGAAATCGACGTGTCGTGTTCAAATCTGGCATTGGTCGCTGCGTCCATTTTTCGCACCGATATCCTTGGGAAAGGCATGAATCCATCACTTCTTCATCCCCAACTCCGGATGAATCAAATGCGGCGATCTGGGTTGGCAAATATTCGAAGCAACCGTGACCCCTAAATTAAAAATCGGTTGGACGCGGAACTCATAACTCCACTGGGAAAAAACCTACTTCTCACAGAAACCACATTGTATTTTGTTTGTCTCTTAATATGCATGGGTTCTTTCATTAATTTCAGGACGTGGCCAGTCGTGGCCCAATTTAGGTCTTTATTTCTCTCAGAAACTTAAGTGAGGAATTCAGTACTTAACAATGTTTCGCATGGAATAATAAGCACAGTGATTGCTACATTCCCAAAACATTAATTCCTCCGTTTCTGAACCAAAAATTCTTCAAGATTGTTTCTACATTATTTGAACCAAAATTCTCCAAGCTTGTTTTCTTTTATATTTGAACTAAAATTCTCCAAGCTTGCTTTCTTTATTATTTGAACTAAAATTCTCCAAGTTTGCTTTGTTCATTATCTGAACCAAAATTCTCCAAGCTTTCTTTCTTTATTATTTGAACCAAAATTCTCCAAGTTTTCTTTGTTCATTATCTGAACCAAAATTCTCCAAGCTTTCTTTCTTTATTATTTGAACCAAAATTTTCTTTTTGTTCATTATCTGAACCAAAATTCTCCAAGCTTTATTTTTCATTATCTGAACCAAAATTCTGCAAGCTTAATTTCTTCATTATCTGAACCAAATTCTCAAAGCCTTCCTTATTCTCTGAACCAAAATTCTCCAATCTTTCTTTCTTTATTATGTGAACCAAAATTCTCCAAGCTTTCTTTCTTTATTTGAACCAAAATTCTCCAAGTTTTCTTTGTTCATTATCTGAACCAAATTCTCCAAGCTTTATTTTTCATTATCTGAACCAAAATTCTCCAAGCTTAGTTTCTTCATTATCTGAACCAAATTCTCAAGGCCTTCCTTATTCTCTGAACCAAAATTCTCCAATCTTTTCTTTTCTTTATAATGTGAACTTTCTCCAAATTTGATTTGTTCATTATCTGAACCAAAATTCTCCAAGCTTTCTTTTCTTTTATTTGAACCAAATTCTCCAAGTTTTCTTTGTTCATTATCTGAACCAAAATTCTCCAAGCTTTATTTCTTTATTATTTGAACCAAAATTCTCCAAGTTTCTTTGTTCATTATCTGAACCAAAATTCTCCAAGCTTTATTTTTCATTATCTGAACCAAAATTCTCCAAGCTTAATTTCTTCATTATCTGAACCAAATTCTCAAAGCCTTCTTATTCTCTGAACCAAAATTCTCAATCTTTCTTTCTTTATTATGGTATTCTCCAAGTTTTCTTTGTTCATTATCTGAACCAAAAATTCTCCAAGCTTTCTTTCTTTATTTGAACCAAAATTCTCCAAGTTTTCTTTGTTCATTATCTGAATCAAAATTCTCCAAGCTTAATTTCTTCATTATCTGAACCAAATTCTCAAAGCCTTCCTTATTCTCTGAACCAAAATTCTCCAATCTTTCTTTCTTTATTATGTGAACCAAAATTCTCCAAGTTTTCTTTGTTCATTATCTGAACCAAAATTCTCCAAGCTTTCTTTCTTTATTTGAACCAAAATTCTCCAAGTTTTCTTTGTTCATTATCTGAACCAAAATTCTCCAAGCTTTATTTTTCATTATCTGAACCAAAATTCTCCAAGCTTAATTTCTTCATTATCTGAACCAAATTCTCAAGGCCTTCCTTATTCTCTGAACCAAAATTCTCCAATCTTTCTTTCTTTATTATGTGAACCAAAATTCTCCAAATTTGATTTGTTCATTATCTGAACCAAAATTCTCCAAGCTTTCTTTCTTTATTTGAACCAAAATTCTCCAAGTTTTCTTTGTTCATTATCTGAACCAAAATTCTCCAAGCTTTATTTCTTCATTATCTGAACCAAAATTCTCCAAGCTTTCTTTCTTTATTATTTGAACCAAAATTCTCCAAGTTTTCTTTTGTTCATTATCTGAACCAAAATTCTCCAAGCTTTATTTTTCATTATCTGAACCAAAATTCTCCAAGTTTCTTCATTATCCTTTCTCAAAGCCTTCCTTATTCTCTGAACCAAAATTCTCCAATCTTTCTTTCTTTATTCTTTAGGTCTGGTCATATGTATCGGAAACTGGTTATATCTTTCGAAGTCATGTCTGTTCATATGTATCACACACTTTTTATAACTTTGTCAGATGTGTTCATATCTATCGCAAACCGTTCCTTCCTATCAATATGACATATGATCATTTCAAACGCAAACTGTTCACATATATCAATGGCAGGTCTTTAGAGCACCTCGGGTCGCTGTAGTGGTTAGCAAGCTTGTCAAGCTAGAACAATTACGACTGAGTAGTGAGTTCGATCCTCACTGGGGGTCACATACATTCGGCCTTGTGCTACATCTAAGCCACGCTTGAAAAATCACTATCTATGTCAGGTCTGTTTATATATATCGCAAACTTTTCACATCTATCACAGACTGTTCATGTCTATCGCAAACTGTTCGTATCTATGTCAGGTCTGTTCAAATCTATCGGAAACTGTTCCTACCTTTTTTTTATACCGCTCGCAAACTGTTCATATGTATCGAAAGTGTTTATATCAATCTATGTATGATCTGTTCATATCTATCGCAAACTGGAGATAGATAGATAGATAGATAGATAGATAGATAGATAGATACTGAACAGGCCGAAATAGATAGATAGATAGATAGATAGATAGATCTTTTGCCTGGAGAAGATATGACATGTACTGTATCTATTAAATTATTTATGATGGCTATTTTGTGTCTGTGGGTATTCACTGTTGTAGTTGAATAGGCATATTTTTCGTCTAAATTTATAGCTTTTTTATTTTTTCATCAACGGGGTTTTAAAGTTTTCATTATTGAAATTAATTAGTAAGTCTAAAAAAAGAATTCCCTTCTGTTTAGTTCAGAGGAGAAATTTATTTTCGAATGTTTTCAGATCTTTTACTTGTGAGGCGTACAAATTGATTTGAATAATGAAAACTTCAAGACCTCTTTCCGAAAAAAATACTACCAACCAAAACCCACACCTATTGAACTAGAAAGGTGAATGCCGACAGATATACAAAAATAGCCATCATAGTATAATATATAGATTATAGTATTTTACACACACTACGTCGATGAACCCCCCTCTCTCTCTCCAAACATTATATATATATATATATATATATATAAAGACATTTATTTATATTCATACGTTCTTTTTATAGATCCAAATATTTAAGTAAATGCTCTGTTTATGAACAGTATTAACGATATTTACCGGCCTGAGTCTCCATGAAATTTTTATTGAAAATATGCGTCCTTCGACAGGACTCGAACCTGTATCCTATATGGAACCGACATGCTGACGTGCTTTTACCGATTGAGCCACAGACTCATATATATATATATATATATTGAGCCACAGACTATATATATATATATATATATATATATATATATATATATATATATATATATATATATATATATATATATATATATATATATATATATATATATATATATATATATATATGGAATCATCATTTGATCTGTTGTGCTATACCACTCAGCTATAGAGAAGCATCTGGTTAGCAAAGTCTGAATTACTGTTTTTAAAGAACAAATCTTTGATGATCTTTCCCGAACGATCATATCTGCTCAGGAGATATACCATAACGTAAACAATGACAACAAATTATACACGCAGGGTGTGATAAGTAAATTGTCGCCAATTTATATTTTTAGTTTCGCGTATGCTCGTTATTTGATTTTTATTTATTTTGTCGACATCGCAGTAGAGTAGGGTCAGTTAGGCCTCGTCCGTGACAGAAAAAAATGCACCATGACGCTCTGTCAGAAATTTGACATGCTATTCTAGTTGACATTCGCGCCGGAAGCTCCAATACGAACATCCCTGATTTGGGTGTTAATCTGAGGACAGAGCAGAGGATTTGGAAAGAGTTGGATGAGTCTAATGGTGATTATCGTTCTGATAAGCAAAGAACTCCTGAATTTGTGGGTGCCTTGAGGAGGTAGTTACCCTGCGTCAAGGGGATGGCTGATGGAAGACACTATGTCTAGGAACAGGACGCTGCACCATGTCACACAAGCAGGAGAATCCAATCATGGCTCTCAGACAATTTTTGCGACCACATCACCCCTTCCATGTGGTCACCTAACTCCCCAGACTGAACCTCCTTGATTATTATGTGTGGGGCGCAGTTGAGCAAGCGATCGGCAAAACTCCTTGTAACTCCAAAGATGAACTGAAAGCAAGGATTATGGCAGCACTTAAACAAGGAGAGCGTCCAGAAGAGTTGCAGGAGATTCCGAAGTCGTTTGAAGGTTGTTGTTGAATCTACTGGCAATTTTATTGAACTAATTTACTCTTTAGTATTTGAAGATATTATTGTGTAATTTTGGTAAATATATCCGTTAGAATGAGATGTCAGTGTTATTTTCAATTTTGCGCAATTGAGACGACAATTTATCCAACGCACTTTGTATATATATAAAGCAGCACTTGAAAATTGCGCTGTGCATGGAAATCAGGGTTGTGCTACTGGTGAGGAACAAACTGTATATTTATTACTTATTATTTTAGATTAAGGTTCAAGGCTCAGTACCCACTC